CTATTTAGGACTCGTAAGCTGGTTGGAACTGTCTCCCATTGAGTTGTATTGTTCCCGCTAAGACTCGAACCTGGATGTGATGACTTCAAACGACGAGTTGTCCATTAGACCACTGTGTCACTATAGCTACTCTTTTTGCGACGGGAATAGCATGATTTTCTCGATGTTATAGCTCGTAAATCTCCATCGTTAGTTGGACTGAATTGATCACCCACTACTGGGATATGGGCTCCACTACTGAGGCAGAATCATCGGCCGGGAGAGTCCTGAATAGGACGATACACATATCCTTGACTCCACTGCTAGTCACTGTCCAACAGTGATATTAAGACTTACAACTTTGGTTTTAAGACTGAATTACTCTCAGAGCTGTGATTTAGGTTAAAGACCATTTCAGTGTTATCCTGGACATCATCATCAGTGCTTCACATGGAATTGCTAGGATCTATGAAATTTAAGTTTACTTCATCTTTACTTTTAAATAAATTTGAAACAAGTTAAAATACCAACTTGCTTTAAACATAAAGTTTTAAATAACTTATTTTATTTTATGTAAATAGTAAACAGGATTTCCGCAGATATTTTAAGATTCACTTCAACAGTTTTTTTAGCTATCTGATTGCGTTGAAAATATCTCTTATCCCGAAGGTTCTGTTCCAACATTTACTTCATTGTATTCGGTAAATTAGAGATAGTACGTTTAGAATAAGGAATTCCCTGAAGAGGCTCGGATCAGACTTTTGTGCAAAACATTGAAATTATTTTATTTCAAACACTCTGTGACACGTAGATACAAACTGTATCTAACGTCGGTTCTTTGATTGTTAAACCCTCATTCAATTGTCATTTCCTGTTCCTAAAACAGACACATATTTTTATATCTTCCTAACAAGATTGATAATGATAAATAACCAGGAGGTAGTATTCATTACAAACTGACATCAGTTGGGGAACCATTTAAAACTTGGGAGCAATAAGCAGCTCTTTCGTCCTAGTATGAGATTTCTCAGAGGTAGGCAGGCACGACCCAGCTAGGAGTCGAACTCGGGATCTTCAGGTCTCACGGCAAATGCATTAACCATTCATTCACTGGGTTGGAGTTCAGTGGTTCACAGTTTCCAACTTCGGTTAGTTGACGATGTAGCCCGACTATCACCCAAGATCTTCTGTTGGCATCCACTATCTTTCCGACTCGCTGGCCTCCCAGGTCACGACTTCCTATTAGAACTTTAGGATATCTGTTTAGATGTGTGTTACTAATAAGCGCTAAACAACAGTATATTTTGATGTAGTATTCAGTTCTAGGTGGATATCTAGAAGTTCTAATGAGAAGTGACCTATGGAGTCAACCAGTCGGAAGGGAAGCAGATGACAGCTGGAGACCTTGGATGATAATCCCACTATATCACGAATCGAAAGAAGTTGGGGACTGTGAACCACTGAACTCTGACCTAATTAATGGATGGTTAACGCGTTCACCATGAAACCTGAAGATCTTGAGTTTGGTTCCTATCTGGGTCGTGGGTGTGTACTGCTAAGGAGTTTTGAGCTGGAACGAAACTTCTGTCCATTGCTCCTAGGTTTTCGATGGTTCCCCAACTTATGACAGTTTTTGATGAATTCTACCTCTAAATTGAAATCCTTATTCTTCTCAATAATAAATAATTATATATAAAAGAAGATGAATTCCTTTAAATAGTATTCATAATCAGAAGTACACGTTCAAAAACATGGAAACCTCAACCGGAAATGAACCTGAATTGCTTGAAAGCTCTTTGTTTTCAAACATTATGTAATTATTCGAAAATTGAAGTCATTTTTAAATGATTTATTTGCTTATTGCTTATAAATTGCACTTTTTCGATTTACATTTCTCTTACTGAGTAGTTTGTCAACTGCCCAACTATATTAATAAGATGATTTTTGTTAGGAATCATCTTGTTAAGATTACACCATTGAATCTCTGATATCAAATTGCTATGAACTAACAAGATATACTACTTACTACTCATATTCTTTAGTAATATGTCATGGTTCATTTTTTGTTTGGTGAAAAGAAAGAATTTTTCACGAGACTTAAAGTTCAGTATAATTTGTAAAAAAAATTCATGAATTGGGTGCTTTGAAGTTTTTTAATTTTTACCATATTGTGGTTTTAAAATAGAGTGGTTGCAATCGTTCGGTTTTTTGTCTTTTTTAAAAGATTTCCACAAAGAAGAACGATTCTACGGTATCTACAACTGTAAACTTACTTCAAGTTTGTCTTGATTAGTGGATCAGTTATTACAAAGCCTATTTTGTTTACGTTTAGTTATTTTGTTTTGATACTACTCCAGACAGGTTTATAGCTATCACACAAAGCGTAGATATCTGTAGGAAAACTAATAAAGCCTGAAGTTCTAAACCAAAAGCCACCATGTTTTAGGTGCACACAGGATAGGAATTTCAGAAAGTTCTATTACTTTCTTCACTCCATTTGACTGGCCAGGTTACTATAAAGCGGCATTTGTAGTGTTTTCTGGAAAAACAACGGTGGTAATATACTTTTACTTGCTTGTGGCTAGTAGAGGAATCCAAGACGCGCGTTTCATCTTATGTGGGACTTATCAGTTTGATCTACCTGCGACCCAGTGAGTGATAATTTCCGCACTAAGAATCGAACCACTTACCCATTGCTTCAAACGCCAAGGCGTTATACATTAGGCCACTGAGGCACGATAGCCAGCTGTTGTACGAGTGGCGTTAGTCACTACTATTTATTGATATACTTGTAATTCGGCTTTGTTTTATCGGATCGAATTGGTTGACCACCCTTGGCATATAGGCTGCTATGCGGATGCCTCGATATTGGCCAAATGTATATTATAGTAATTTACTTGGTTGTAGGTAGCAGGGGAATCCAGGACGTGCGTTTCGTCCTGTTTGGGACTCAGCTGGATGTATCTGCACCTCGCTGCTAGCTACAACCATAATTAACATTCAGGCATTATTGAGGCATCCGCATAGGAGCCCATATGCCAGTAGGGGTGGAACATTTTGATCCAGTAAAACAAGGGAGAATTACAAGCGGATCAATAAATAGTAGTAATGTACTTTTCCCTGTGAGAAATCCCGTTCTTAACATATATCTCACATGAATACAAATGCTATGGGGTTATTATTTTATCAGTAAGACTTTGAGTTATATACCAATATAGTAAGTACCTTTGTCAAGGAATGCTTTCACACTGTCTCACTTGATGTCTTACGCTTATTTTTCTCTGTCAAACACTTATTCGTTCGCACTTAAAGCATGAATAAAAGCAGGGAACTTTATCTTTGTTGCTTGCCAGTCAAATATTTCCATCATTCACTAGTGCAATCGTGTGTTTCACCTATTGAGACTCACTTACCAGCGTTTTTTTAACCACCAATCTGTTTGCTTCAAGATTTTGAAACTTGTCCTGTGGTGATATTTATGAAGTTTCTCTTTATTTTCTTTGTAAATTTCTCGCATTAAAATTCAAAAATTGACCTTCCTGTTATGTTCATTATTTTTGTCTGAAGGCCCTAACTTGAATCTTATAATCTGCTTTATTTTATAGTTTGATATTTTTCAGTCTTCTAGCTCCTACTTTGGAGAATGTTTTGCCACTAGTTGGTATGAGTTTAGACTCATTTTTATCGCTTTTTATGAGTTTTTCAAATTACCGTTTTAATGAAAAAACTAGTTGAATGGTAAAGAAAAGTCACTTGTAATAATATTGCCGCATGGTAAAAGTTGAACGCCTTTTATAAACGCTACTAAAATATCAAAAAAACAACATATTGCATAGTGAACAACTATCACGCAGTTATATCGAATAGAAGTGGTGTACTTGGAGCATACTCCAGAGATAAAAGCCGATAAGTCTTCAATCCAGGTTGTTCCGTTTTAATGTACTCTTGTTTCATTTATTCTCATATTTTGTGATTAAACCTGTCAGGTAGGGCTTTTAGAATAATACAGTCATAAATTATACTGCAAAAGTAGTGTAACTGTTTGACTATTTCTAATTAATAATGTGACAGGATTATGCACGCTATGAAATACTTCATACTGTTTATTTATTTTAAATCTGTTAAGAATAATTTATTTTGGCGGTTGTTAATATAATTTTGTCATTTTTGTAAACTTACGGCTTATTTGTTTAGGCGGTTGACTAACAACCTGTAGATCGTTGATTTAAATACTACTCCAGATAGACGGATGAACAGAATCAACGTAGAAACTTGCCCACAAGTGGATTAGTTCAAGTAGTCATACTTCATAGTAGTATAGAAAGAAAAAATGAATGGGAAAGACTGATATCAAAGTAGACAAATGTGTACGTAGTAGGAGAGAGGATTGAAAAAAATTAGGTTAAGTTAAAACATTCGAATTGAATACATCTGGCCAATTGTGACCGATTTCCAGCCATTTTATCGATGAGTCCACCCCACTCATCGAAGTTTGGGCAGCCAGCCCTCACATAATAGGTGTGGTTCATTGTCTACTGCACAAATGTCGACGAAGTTGCTCAGTGGATTTTGATTAACAGTTGTTAAGTACTTAATTGGGAACTTCATTTTCATGTTTCATGTTAAATCAAATTTTATCAGGTGCCATTACATTGCAGTGCCAAATAAATGAAATATAACTGGGAATAAACTTATCTTTGAGAAATATTCAATATGTTATATCAATTCTGGTCAAGATTTGACTGGACGGCTTCACAACTATTAGATGACGAATGGAAAGTTGATATAAGTTAGACATGAGTTATATTTGTGTAAATGTCAGCAATGTTTGAAATAAACAATTCAAGCATTTCTCAGGCAAGTTTGGTTCTAGCTTTTTCTTTTGATTATTTCTCTAAAGAAGCTCGAATCAGAATTTCGTCTGAACACGCTAAGATATATAAAAATATAACTGACAAATATTCAATATTTCTCTCAAAATTTTATATATTTTATCCAATTTTTATTATATTTCTACATAGGATTCTTCTGAAGTCTCTAAATATTTCAGGTTTGGAAGTGGATGAAGCTTTACGCCTGGTTGTACATCGATTTGGTATGCCGGTAAGTAAACTGACTTTATAACTTTTCATTTATGCACATATGACATAATCTACATTCATGTGTTACGTGTTCATTATTCATTGCATAAGATGTATTTTGCTTGTCTAATCCCAGCGTAGTACATTAGAAAAAATAATAAAATATTTTTGTATTCTTCTTCTTCTACCTTACTTATGCAACTGAAATAAGCCTCTCTAACCGATTTTCTAATTCACTCACCTGATCTCTATTTTATGTCACGATCCACTAGGATGATCATAAAGGTCACAGTCTATAGCAAACGTGAATATTAACGTGAAAACTTTATATCAGGCTCATACTCTTGAAAAGAGTCATCCTAACGAAATTAAAACATCGATGAACAATACAAAATATTTGTTTATTTTGTTATCTATCCTAATATACTAAACCAGGTAGCGGAATCCAAGATGTGCCTTTCGTTCTATTTAGGACTCATCAACTGGATGTAACTGCCATGTTGTTCCTGCTAAAACTCAAAGTTGGGACATCATTAAAACTATTCCTGTCTGATAAGAGGTGACTGTTATAACTCAGTGATCTAGTGGATAATAAATATTTCTGGGGTTTGAAGTAATCGGTTCCAAGTTCGAGCCTCAGTGGGGCCAAAATCGATCACTGGAAGGCAAGTACTTTCAGGAGACGAGTCCCAAACAGGACGTAGATTCCACTACTAACCACTTCCCATCATTAATATAAAATTGATACTCAGGCAGTATTGAGGCAGCCGCACAAGAGTCCAAATACAAATAGAGACCTATCAGTTACAGTCGACTCAGCTACGGGATAATGCAAGTAACAAAAACAGGTAGTTCCATTATCAGTCAGGATGTGTTCAAATTTCGTCAACTGTAATAATGAACATTTAATCTGTCTTTTCTTAAACGTTAGGGGATTAATGTTTGTTTGTTTACCTGACGTATTATTTATGTGAAGTTCCGTAATGTACTATATCTGATTTGGTTTAGCTAATAAAACACTAAGTCTATATTATATATTATGGTTAGTATCGTTCGGAGTTGATACACTAGATAATGCCTTTGTTAAATACTGAGCATAGTTTTCTACCACTGACATAGGGCATTTCAATTGTTTATAGAGTGCATATACATCACAAAGTGTTGGAAACATGATAGAGCTAACAAACAATCAAAGGATTAGGTAATATGAATCAGAAAAGGTAATTGACATTCAATGAAAATGTTTTACCCAAAGTTGCAATTATTGAGAAGACTGAATGAAGTAACATCGACAACTTATAAATGTAAAACTGATAATAACAATAAGAGACTGCAGAGATTAATCTGAAAAAGAGAGGAGTCGAAAAAAATCAAAACGAAGCAAACTAAGACCAGCTGAAGATCAAGGTAGAGAAAAAAAGGCTTCTTTTGTACACAAAAGTCAGGCTTCAGTTTATGGATAGACAACGTCTCTATTGTTTTTTAAGGTTGAAGATGGAGAAAACATGAAATATTTAAATAAATTCAAGAAGCAACTTCAAAATCATTGTTTAGATTGACTGAATAGTCGGAATGGATCAAATTACCAAGAATAAGACTTCGCATGCATTTCCTTTTACCCTTAGAAAACCAGACTGAAATAGGTCCTCATTATTGTTATTTTATGCGCATATTATTGTAATTTGATATTCCTCACAGATTGCAGTCTGTAAATGATATATGTGTATATATCTATACACTTCATTGAAAAGAATTATCTCCGAATATCTTGTTTTTGATATCAAGATAACTGGACACCTTTAAGGCATGGCTTATATTATTCTAATTTTTTCTCCTTTTTTGTGGTATAAATAGTAGGATATTCCATAAATTCGGAACAGTTTCCTAGTCATTCCTTATGTATGTATTCGGTGTTTATTCGATAAACAAAGATTCGATCAATAATCTCACGCTTTCGCTCACTTGGTTGATTTTAAGGATTTTCACTCTGTCCCATCTTAATGTGTATTTCTCTGTACTTGCATCCATAGTTATAGCCGAGTTTCTTTTCTAGATTCCTTATCTTACTAGGATCTACCAGTTTTCATTTACCTGGTAAATAATCCTATTTTATTGTTTGATTTACCTAATATATCACCTATAAAGTTAGGTTATATTCTACCTCACTGCCTAAGTTTTACGTCTTACATTAACAAAATGTATAGCCAACTATCACTGAGAATCTTCCTGATTGTGGTCGACTGGACTGAACTGGATCTTGCAACAAACTGCCAGGAGCGAGAAGATGGGCATACGCTGTATGACTTATGAAATGACTCTAGAAGACTTGGATTTCGCCGATGATGATTTATGTCTAATGTCTTGTCGCACAAACTCAAAACTCTACAGACAAAAACTAACAAGTTGACAGGAGAGGCGAGGTAGCGACAGAAGACAGGACTTCCTTCAGATGAACGAAGAGAAGACAGAGGTGATGAAGATACCCAGCTGACAACAACAACAATCACCATGAATGGGAGAAATCTAAAGGAAGTCGCCCATTTCACCTACCTGGGCAAGCAGCATCGTTTCAACTACAGGCGGCTGCGGCACAGATTAGGACGTCAAAGCCAGCATCGAAAAGACAGAAAGATGGGTCTTCATTGATCTAAAGTAATCAGTGTGGACATCTACTGCAATCAGCATAAAAACAAGATGCGAGTTTTCAACACTACTTCAGTCAAGTAAGTCGGTGCTTCAGTGTGATGGTCGAGAGACTTGGCGCCTTACGAAAAGCATTTACACCAGACTGCAGACATACATCACATTAATAGCTCCTGTCTACTCTCACTCGATACTGACATTGAAGATCAGATCAGATGACCAGAATAATAAGAATAAGCAACAAGGAAGTGTGGCTGGCAACCAATCAACCAAGAACTCATCACCTAACAAATATGCAGAAGAATGTGGAGATGGATTGTATTGGACATACACTGAGAAGACGGCTTGGGGACATCACATGTGAGGGCAGGTCAGGCCATCGAGTGGAAATGAAATGGGAGATGATGTGTGGGGCATCCGAGAGTAACACGGAAGAGATCATGTGAGGAAGAAATGAAAGCTTGTAGGCAGTCGTAGAGCCAGGTTGAGAAGACTGCAGAGATTGATAGTGCATAGGAGACGTGGTAGTGTAGACCTATGTTCCACTAGGAACCCAAGGAACAAATAATAATATTAGTCGATCAATCACACCAAGATTCACATATTTTTCTTTCAAATTAGTGGTGCCACGGCCGCCTGTAGTTGAAACGATGCTGCTTGCCCAGGTAGGTGAAATGGGCGACTTCCTTTAGATTTCTCCCATTCATGGTGATTGTTGTTGTTGTCAGCTGGGTATCTTCATCACCTCTGTCTTCTCTTCGTTCACCTGAAGGAAGTCCCGTCTTCTGTCGCTACCTCGCCTCTCCTGTCAACTTGTTAGTTTTTGTCTGTAGAGTTTTGAGTTTGTGCGACAAGACATTAGACATAAATCATCATCGGCGAAATCCAAGTCTTCTAGAGTCATTTCATAAGTCATACAGCGTATTCCCATCTTCTCGCTCCTGGCAGTTTGTTGCAAGATCCAGTTCAGTCCAGTCGACCGCAATCAGGCGGCGCTTGGATGATAGTATGGAGCCTTGTCTTACATCTGTCTTCACTTCAAAGAGGTGTCTGAGCTTGCGATTGTGAATCACTTTGTATGTGTCGTCGTCACATCTTTGTTGTTTGGTTAGGGTTTGTGGCATTAAAACCGTAGTGTTGAAGCAGTTTTTAAATTAATTCTCGACCGACGCAGTCGGTAGCCTTTTCAAAATCGACGAAGTTGAGGTTGATTTGAGTTGACCGCCATTCTCTGCTTTGTTCTATGATGATGTGTTGCGTTGCAATTTTTTCCGCACATGATTCGTACTTCCTGAAGGCATCCAGCCTGTTCCGGTCGTAATTTTGAATCCAGCGCATACTTTAATATCTCCAGGATGATGCGGCCTAATGTTTTGTTCAGCGTGGAGAGAAGTGGAGCATGATTCTGCGCCATTTCTTGCAGAGGCTTAGGTCTCCTTTCTTTGGAAATTCGACAAGATCACCCTTCTTCCAGTTGGCTGGTACCTTTCATTATTTCCTTACAAACCTTCTGCAGTAGTGGTGTGAGCGTATCCGCTGTTGTCTCCGCATCTGTCTCAGTGCTTCCGGAGGACTTCCATCTGATCTTCCTGCTTTCCTGGATTTCAGTGACTTTATGGCTTTCAGAACCTAACTTCTGCTTATGTCGGAGGACTTGTGTTCACTGGTTGTTCTGTGGCTGGGCTGCTGGTGGTATTTCTGGACGAGTTGCAGGTGGACGTGGTCGATTCAAAAGCTTTTCGAAGTGGTCAGCCCATCGTTTCCTTTGTTTCTCCTCTTTGCTAACTAGCTTTCCTTGACTATCTTCCACTGGTTTCGTCTGCATTGATCTTTACCCAAAAAGTAACCTGGTTATTTCATACAGTGTCGTCAGGTCTCTGTCTCTCCTATTTACAGTCTGTTCTGCTTCACTTACCAATGTGTCGTAGAGGCGTCTTTTGTCTGCGCCCACTCTTCTTTTCTTCATTGTCCAGTGCTTTTGTTACGTAGCGACAAGAAGGCAGCCAATAGCAGAGTTTTCAAGTCGTGATCAGATCATGTTCAGGTCATGAGGACCTGATTGGAGGAATTCGACGTCATACAAGAAATCTGATCAGTCCATTTGTGGCTTCACTTTCTGAGAGTTTTGTAAATACATATATGTCATGTACTTGCCAAATAAAAGTTGTTATTATCGCTGTTCTTGCAGTTACAGGCCGTCTTTGTCTCCTGATTTTACCGCGGCTAAGTTAAGCAGAAGGTAGTGAGGGAGGTCAGTCGTAAAAGTATTCGGTTGAGGTGTCCATTGAGCCCGAGTATTCATTATACGCACGCGCGCAACCCCACCACTCGGTCAATACAGTTTTATACGTCGTACACAGTTCTTCTTCTCATTGTGCA